ATGCAACCAAATTTGATTTCTTGACTACTGGACAATGATTGAGAATCCAGAAATAAAGGATTTTGTGTGTGATATTAATGGTATTGTTCAATAATTTCTGCATTCTGTCGGCTCACCATTTTTTTTTTTAAAAATGGGCTCAAATATATATCTCATTGCCCAGGTTGCTGTCTTCCAAATTTTTTTTGCATTCACAAAAGAGTGCTTCTACCTCTGTATTCCTTCTCAGTTGTTATTCTGGCAAATCCTATACCCTTGTTTTTCAACTTATGCCTTCAGTGCAACTTGGATTTCTTCCTTTTGTACCATTTTCTCAATCATACACTATATTCTGAAATGGTTGTACATTGTGTCATCGTTGTTGTTGTTATGTGCCATTGAGTCGCTTGCGACTCATAGCGACCCTATGTACTACAGCTCTAAACTCTGCTCTGTCCTGTGCTAATCTCATTGTCTCTGACACACTCATCCCGATTGCCCCAATCACCGAATCAGTTCACCTCCCAGAGGGCCTTTCCCTCCTGCGCCTGCCCTCCACCCTCCCAAGTAGGATGTCGTTCTCCAAGCACTGGTCCCTCCTTACAACATGACAAAAGTATGTCAGATGTAGTCTCAGAATCATTGCTTCCAAGGAGCAGCCCTGTTTAACCCTCTCCAGGATGAATCTGTTTGTTTTCTTAGCAGTCCATAGTACCCTCACCACTCTTCTCCGACACCAAAGGTCAAAAGCATCAATTCTCCTTCTATCCTCCCTGCTCATTGTCTAGCTCTCTGACTCATAACAAGTGATTGCAAAGACCATGGCCTGTACCAGACGCACCTTAGTCTCCAGAGACACATCGTTGCTCTTCAGTACTTTGGAGAGGTCCCTAACAGCAGACTTTCACATTGCAATATGTCTTAATTTCCTGGCTGCCGGTGCCAAGAGTGTTGATTGTGGAGCCAAGCCAACTAAAGCTGTGAACAATCGCAATCTCTTCACCATCCATCCTGATGCTGCCAGTTGGTCCTGTGGTGAGAATCTTTATCTTCTTGACATTGAGCCTCAATCCATATTGAAGGCTGCAGTCCCTGACCCTCAGCAGCCAGCGCTTCAGGTCCTCTTCAGTTTCAGCAAGCAGGGTTGTGTCATCTGCATAACGCAGATTGTTGATAGATCATCTACCGAACCTGATGCCATGGTTTTCCTCATAGAGCCCATCCTCTTGGATAATCTTTTCTGCATACAGGTTGAAAAGGTATGGAGACAGGACACGTCCCTGTTGTTTCATTAAATTCTTCTGTGTCTGCCAATTGCTTTAGATACAATGACTCAGTATATTCTTTCAATATTCTTTTGATACTTCCTGAATCGTTTAATACTCTGCCTGAAGCATCCTTGATTATAGTAACGTACTGCTGGAGAAGGTTAGTATCAGCTGTGAAAACTAGGCTAGGAGCTGATTATGGAACAGACCACCAACTACTCATATACAAGTTCAAGCTGAAGCTGAGGAAAATTAAAACAAATCCATAGCAACCAAAATATGACTTTGAATCTATCCCAAGTGCATTTCAGAACCATCTCAGGAACAGGTTCGAGACCTTGAACACTAATGAGTGAAGACCAGATGAGTTGTGGGAGGATATCGAGGGTATCATCCAGCAAGAGTGCGAACGGTCATTGCAAGAACAGAAGAGGAAGAGAAGACCAAAATGATGTCCGAAAAGACTCTGAAAATTGCACTGCAGCACAGAGAAGCCAAAGCACAAGGAAGAATTCAAGATACTAAAGAGTTGATTAGAAGATGTCAAAAGGCAGCACAGGATGACAAAATATTACAATGAAATGTGCAAGGAGTTGGAGTCAGAAAAGCAAAAGGGCCGAACTCGCTCATATTTCTTAAGCTCAAGAAACTGAAGAACAAATTCAGACCTCGAGTTGCTATAATCAAGGATGCTTTCGGCAGAATGTTAAATGATCCAGGAAGTATTAAAAGAAGATGGAAAGAATATACT